AATCACCGTCCGCCGCCGCCGCTCCCTTTGTCTGGGTTACGGGCGCGGGCCAATGGGGTTGCGCCGAGACGCGGACAGCGCGCGTCTGGGCCAATGGGCGGGCCGGGAGGGTGGCGACGCGAAGCACAGGGCTCGGGTGTCCTTGTGTGGACGGGCGGCAACGGGCAGGCTAGCGCCTGCGGCGGAGACTGCGGCTCGCCTGCGGGGGGACTCACATCCCCAGCTCCCCGCGTTCTGAACCGCCCTCCGGAAAAGAGCCCCGGAATGAGGAGGGGGTGGAGGCGACCCCTGCGTAGCGGCTGCGGGACCCCGGGATCCTAGGGGATTTGGTTGAGAACAGCTCGTTGCGTCCAGCCCTGATCACTCCCGCGCCCCGGGGCTGCCCTGCGCCGTGTGCATTTCCCCGAGGACTTGCAGAGAAACGCACCCCTCCGGGAGGGAAGGGGGCAGTCCTGAGAGCGGCGACTCCACCGCGTGGCGGAGCCCTGGATGGAGAGGCTGCTCGGAGGTGTCTCAGCGCCGAACTAAGTCCCCTGGGGTTGGATGGGGGCCCAGGAGCGGGCCCAGGAGCGAGCCCTGGCCGCACGCTCTGCCTGGCGTCTGTCTCAGAGTCACCCCGAATGAGGAGTGACCCCTCCCTGTCCCCCAGAGTTGGGTCATACTGAGGGGGAAACATCAGGAACTCAAGAGCCGGCGCCCAGGGGCTCAGATCTGGAGCCTCCACCGCCAGGGCAGTACCTCCCGCGTTTGCGCCCTCCCTCGAGGTTCTTCCCAGCTCACCTGGAGGAGGGGTCTAGGGGAGGGATCCCTGTGCCTTTAGTCCTTAGCAGAGTCCCACGTGGGTGAGCCGGGTTCTGGCCTTTTCATTACTCCCCTGCTGCCTCCCCATAGAGGGGAAGGTGACAAACCCTCTTTAGGAAGCTGAATTGCTGGTACTGGTTGGAAACAAAAAGCAGCTTGGCTTGCTTCTCCATGGAGGACTCCTGCCCTCCCCAGCCCCGCACCTTGCTGGAAGGTAGCAGACACAGCTGGCCTTAATTCCAAGAGTAGAAGGAACCACACACTTGAACCCAGGCACCAGGAATGGTGGCTTCAAACCTCGGTTTCCAAAGCTTAGCTCACAATGAAATCACAAACCCAAACGAAGCCCTGGCGGGGCTCTCGTGGAAGGTTGCATCCAAAAGCACGCAGAGATTGGCAAGGGCGTGCTTGGTGGTTTCCCGCGCACCCAGGGCGAGCTGAATGCTGGATGTGAGTAAGGTGCCGCATGGGAGAGGGCCTTGTGATGTCACAGACATTCCAGGACCTGCTGGCTTTGGCCTGAGGATTCTCAGTCCCTATGTCACTAAAGCCGCTTTTACCAAAGTTACCATCCAAGTCTGTTACTGAAGCTAGGTCACTAGACAGTGACCTCGGAGTCTGCCCCGCCACCCTGGGTGCCTCACTCCAGAGTCACAGGGACCCTGAGCTAGGCAGGCAGCAGGGCCACATGGCTAGGCTGCAGCCTACAGACCCCATCAACATGGCCCTGGAAATTTCACGCCCAGGATGTAAGCATCCAGGGGCGCAAGGAGGTTGGATCAGGATGGTCCAGACACTTCCTAACAAACGGTCTCATCTCTCACCCTCTGGAAATGACAGAAAAATTTAAAAGTCCATTATAACCAGGAGAACAAGAAAGGTGCCCCCCATGGACCAGCAACCCCAAGGAGTCCTGGGGAGGTGGAGTAGGGGTGCAGCCCTGGCCTGAAGAGAGACCACAGTCAAAAGTGCAGAGACAGCAACTACTAGCAGGTGACAGTAGCTTGGAGGCAGCAGCTGAGGGGGTCTGGGGCAACTGTCGGGGTGACCCATGGGATGTCTGTGGGGGTCAGAGCCCATTGATGAATAACACCTGGAAGGAGCAGGGAGCCCCGTGTCCCCAGAGCAGCCACTGAGGCCCCTGCCTGATGGACCCCGTGCATAGTCCACTTGTTGGAAAGCGGGGAATCTCACAAAGGGGAGCACAAACCTGGAGCCCCCAGCCCCGCAGGAAGTGCCACACCACAACGCAGAGCAAAGGCGTGAAGCCGCGCGGGACGCAGCTGTCCACCTCCACCGCCCCCCCTTCCTCCCGGGCCCGTTTAGACTCCATTTCTCAAATTCCCTAGCAAGTCAGTGTGGCCATGTGACCTGCCCCTCTCCAGTGGCGTATGAGTGGGTGTGACAGGTGCCACTCCTGCACCTGGCCCAAACCTCCCTCTACGCTCTCCCCCTTCCCGTGGGCCCACGTGACACTAGAAGCTTCACGCCAAAGACCACAAATTCCCATCAGCCTGGAGCCTCGAGTGACCAGGAGTGGGAGGCCACTGTCACCTTAGAGCCTTTGCCTCAAGTTCTTTGTTGTCTTTACGGTTAGAGCAGGATCTGAACCTTGGGGCAATTTAACTTACTGTACTGGGTTGAAGAACGGGGCCCAGTTCCTCACCCCATAGCAGGATTTCACGTCCACCTCCTTGCCGTGGCCTCCGGGTGAGTGGGGTGACCTTGGACTTGGCAGCGTGACTTGTTTTGGCCATCAAGAGGCTGGCAGATGTGAAGTGAGCAGAGGCTCAGAATGTGCCAGCACCTTCGCCCCTGTCCATGGGAGACTGTGCCCGTGGAAGGGTGACCTCATGCTGACGGGGAGCCGGCGGCCCGAGGAGGAGGGGAGCCCGCCCCGCACTGACCCTCTGTCGTTTTAGACACGGCGCTTTGGAGTGTCTGTTGTGCAGCATTGCTGGGGCCACTGCTGACCAACAAGCCCAGCCTAACCGATAGAGAGATGGGCACCCCGGGAGCTGGTGTGACCAAACCCCAAGTCTGTGGCGTCGGCTCAGCAGTTGGCCTACGGATGGCGGGAAAACGGACGTGGTGAGCTGGAAATAGTAACGGATTTCCCTTGCTGTGTCGCGGCGAAACGCTTGGGAAAAACGGACGCGGGTGCCTGCTGGCCAATCCCGCTGCTTTACCATGGCGTTCCCAGGACGTGAGGGCCAGTCTGCAATCAGGGCTAGCCGGGGAGAGCCCAGTGCTGACCCCTGAAACTGGGGAGAAGTGCTCGGTGCTCAGAGCCTCCCGTGACAGCGCTGAAGGCAGCGTGGGGACTGTGGCAGAGGTGGGATTGGGGGGCGGGTAACGGGATACCTGCTCTGTCAGCTGGACCACGAGGACGCACATCTGGACCCAGCATGAGGCTGCGCATAGCTGAGAGCGCGCGCTATGAGCTGGGTCTTCTCCCTCAAGACGGGGGCGTGGGGCTTTTCTCCACATGGGAAGAAGGCTGGGGTATCTGGGGGCCGGAGGGCCGACTGTCCTCCAAAAGGTGCTTCCCCACCCTCTGGGCTCCTGGCCGCACCGCATTTCCCAGGTTCCTTTGCAATAGGTGTGGCCAGGTAACAGGGTCCGTCCAACAGAATGTGGAAAAGCAACGGGTACCACTTTCAGGTTGCACAGAGACCTCTCACAAGCCTTCTTCTAGGGTCCCCTTCCCACCGCAGAGGGGGGACAGTCAGAGCCACCGTGGAAGCCACATGTTGCCCATAGGACCCTACCCCTCACTGGAGCACTTGCCCTGTGTGGGTCGGAGGTAAATAAGCCGCTAGTTTGTTGCTCTTAGGGTCCACCTGTTCCACCAGGTTAGCCTGCACTGATGGCAGAGGAAGCAAGTCTTCAGAACACACGGGATGCTCGCCGGCAGCACTGGGGGTACCCTCACGAGAAAAGAGGAAAGATGTTATCTTTTAAAGACAGCCTTTGGGGAGGTGAAGTGTTGATAATGTTCACTTTCTTCCTTATAATTTTATGTATCATACACGTTTTCACAAGGATATATTATTTATATATTCAGGGGACAAAAACAACAAAAATAAGAATAAATTTGCAAAGATACTTTCCAAACATCTGCTAGATATCTTGGGACACTGAAATAAATTGGGACACCAAAGTTAAAAATGCTCAACAGGCAGGGCGAGGAGTCAAACGGACACGGTGGATCCTTGAACAAGTGAGCTGGGAGGTCAAGCCGAAGAATCCTCAGACAAACAGACGAAATCTCCACAGCACAAAGGAAAAGACAAGGAGTGAGAATGTAGCAAGGAGAAGTTAAGGACGGTGGAAAATAAGCCCATCGTTTCCGCATCCAGTTATTTAAAAGGCGTTCCAGAGGCCTGAAGGGAAAGGGTGTAGTGAAACCACCCCTGGCTGGAGAAAGACAGG